CTGAAGGAAAAAAAACCATATGATCATCTCAATAGAAGCAAAAATATAATTTGACAAAGTTCAACACCCATTTATGATAATAACTCTCCAGAAAGTGGGCAGAGAGGGAACCTACCTCAACATAATAAAGGCCATATATGACAAACCCATAGCTAACATCATACTTAATGGTGAAAAGCTGAAAGCATTTCCTGTAAGATCAGTAACAAGACAAGGATGTCCACTCTCACCAATTTTATTCAACATAGTTTTGGAAGTCATAGCCATGGCAATCAGAGAAGAAGAAGAAATAATTGAAAAGAAGAAGTAAATCTGTCACTGCTTGCAGATGCATGACACTATACATAGAAAATCCTAAAGATGCTAGCAGAAAACTACTAGTGCTCATCAATGAATTCAGTAAAGTTTCAGGATACAAAATTAACACACTGAAATCGGTTGCATTTCTATACACTAGCAAGGAATGATGAGAAATTAAGGAAGCAATCCCCTTTACCACTGCATCAAAAAGAATAAAATACCTACGAATAAACCTATCTAAGGAGGCAAAAGGCCTGTATTCAGAAAAATATATGATGCTGATAAAAGAAATCGAAGATGACATGTACAGGTGGTAAGATATACCATGTTCTTGGATTGGAAGAATCAATATTGTCAAAATGACTATACTACCCAAGGTAATTTACAGATTCAATGTAATCCTTATCAAATTACCCATGACATTTTTTCCAGATCTAGAACAAAAAAATCTTAAAATTTGTATGGAAACATAAAAGACTCAAATATCCAAAGCAATCTTGAAAAAGAAAAAAGGAGCTGGAGGAATCAGCCTCCCTGACTTCAGACTATACTACAAGGCTACAGTAATCAAAACAGTTTGGTACTGGCACAAAGACAGATTTATAAATAAATGGAACAGGATAGAAAGCCCAGAAATAAACCCATACACCTATGGTCAACTTATGTATGCCAAAGTAGGCAAGACTATACAATGGAGAAAAGCCAGCCTCTTCAATAAGTGGTGCCAGACAGTTACATGTAAAAGAGTGAAATCAGAACATTCTCTAACACCATACACAAAAATATACTCAAAATGGATTAAACACCTAAATGTATGACAAGATACTATAAAACTCTTAGAGGGAAATATAGGCAGAAGATTCTTTGACATAAATTGCAGCAATATCTTTTGGGTTCCATCACCTAGAGTAATGAAAATAAAAACAAAAACAAACAAATAAGACCTAATTAAGCATAAATGCTTTTTCACAGCAAGGGAAACCATAAACAAAATGAAAAGACCATCCACAGAATGTGAGAAAATATATGCAAATGATGCAACTGACAAGGGCTTAGTTTCCAAAATATACAAACAGCTCAGGCAACTCAATATAAAAAAACAAACAACACAATAACACAAATGGGCTGAAGATGTAAATAGACATTTCTCCAAAGAAGACATACAGATGGCCAAAAAGCACGTGAAAAAATGCTCAACATTGCTAATTATTACAGAAATACAAATTAAAACTACAGTGAAGTATCACTTCACACCAGTTAGAAAAGCCTTCATGAAAATGTCTATTCACAATAAATGCTAGAGAGGGTGTGGAGAAATGGGAATCCTCCTACACTGTTGGTAGGAATATAAATTGGTATGGCCACTATGGAGACTAGTATGCAAGTTCCTTAAAAATTAAAAGTAGAGGTACCATATGATCCAACAATCCCACTACTGAGCATATATCCAGAGAATATATATCCATAATCTGGAAAGATACTTGCACCCCAATGTTCATTGCAGTACTATTTACAATACCCAAGACATGGAAAAAACCAAAATGTCCATTGACAGATGAATGGATAAAGAAGACGTGATATATATATATATATATATACACACAATAGAATATTACTCAGCCATAAAAAAGTATGAAATAATGCCACTTTCAGCAACATGGATGAACCTAGAGATTAGCATACTGAGTAAAGTAAGTCAGACAGAGAAAATTATCACGTTATCACTTATATATGGAATCTAAAACATTATACAAATGAACTTATTTACAAAACAGAAACAGGCTCACAGACTTAGAAAACAAACTTATGGCTACCAAAGGGGAAAGGTGGGGGGAGGGATAAATTAGGAGTTTGGGATTAACAGATACACTCACTACTATATATAAAATAGATAATCAACAAGACCTACTGTATAACACAGGGAACTCTACTCAATACTCTGTAATAATCTGTATGGGAAAAAATGTGAAAAATAATAGATATAAGTATATGTATAACTAAATCACTCTGCTGTACACCTGAAACTAACACAACATTGTAAATCAACAGTACTTCAATATGAAATAAAATTTTAAAAATAAAATAAAAGCTACAATAATTTAAAACGTATGTTACCAGCATAAAGACAAATATATAGATCAATTGAATAGAATAGTGAGCCCATAAATAAACCCACACATATATATTCAACAGACCTTCAACAAGGGAAATAAGAATACACAATGGAAAAGTAGTCTCTTCAACCAGTGGTGTTGGGAAAACTCCAACACCACACGCAAAAGCATGAAACTGGACCCCTACCTTATACCACTCACAAATGTTAACACAAAATGTATTAAACACTTAAACATAAGACCTGAAACCATAAAATTCCTAGAAGAAAACACGGGTAAAATGGTTCTTGATGTTGGTTTTGGCCATAAATTTTTGATTTGATACTAAAAGTGCAGGCAACAAAAGTAAAACTAAAGAAGTAGGACTACATCAAATTGAAAAGCTTCTGCACAACAAAGGAAACAACTAGTAAATTGAAAAGACAACCTACAGAATGGGAGAAAATATTTGCAAACCATGTATGTGATAAATGATGAATACACAAATACATAAGGAACTTGTACAACTCAATAGCAATCATCATCATTCAATTAAAAATAGGCAAAAGACCTGAATATATATTTTTCCAATGAAGACAAATGCAAAAGAAGCTCAATATAATTAATCATTAGGGAAATGCAAATCAAAACTACAATGAGTTATCACCATTATGAAAAACAGTATGGAGTTTTCTCAACAAATTTAAAATAGAAGATTATATGATCCAGCAATCTGACTCCTGGGTATATAGCCAAAGGAAATGAAATCAGTATCTCAAAGAGATATCTGCACTTCTATGTTCTTTGTAGCATTATTTACAACAGGCAAGATATGGAAACAATGTCCATTCATAGATGAATTGAAAAAGAAAATGTATACATATATAAAATAATGAAATATTATGCATAGAAAATAAGAAAATTCTGTGATTTGTTACTACATGGATGAACCTGGAGGGCAGTATGCGAAATGAAAATACCCAGACAGAGATACAAAAATACAGTATGGTATCACTTATATGTAGAATCTTTTAAAAGGCCAATTTTATAGACACAGAGAATAGAATACCAGGGGATAGAGGAGAAGGGGAATTAGGAAGATTAGATCAAAGGGTACAAACTTTTAGTTACTAGATTAGTAACTAATCTAATCTAGTATATAGATCTAATATACAGCATGGTGAATATAGTTAAGAATACAGTATTGCATACTTGAAATTTGGGGGAAGATTTTAAGCATTTTCAACACACACACACACACACACACACATGAATTAACTCTGGGGTGGGGGATGGAGGTGTTAATTGTCTGGATCTTGGTATTTATATCATGATGTAGAATGTATCAAACCTGTACACCTGAAATATATTCAATTATATTTGTCAATTATTCCTCAATAATTCTGGGGAAAAAGAAAAGCTCTTATTGATTTGAACTATAAAACTACCCACAGATATAATCATTTTGTCTTGAAAATTCTTACCAGATATATGTATCCTTAAGCCCTGGTGTCAGAGTAAACTGGAGGCTGGAACATTTATTACAACATTCCTGGGTAGCTACCAGGTATTTCAGGAGATTGAGATTTCATTTTTTCATTATTATTCAATTTGAAAATAACAGTAGTCAAGGATGAGAACTATATCTCTCATGTATGTATTGTTCATGTGGACTATTCTATAATTTCTACACAAAGAATATTTTTCTTACTCTAAAAAGTCCAAAATACTTCTGTTGTAGACTAGAGATATATCAATCACAGACATAAACAAATAGATATTTGACAAGTCCTTGGACTTGCATATCTTCAAGGATGCAATATCAAGAACAATAATAATTAATCACATCATGTACTTCCTTTCTAAGGAAAGAAGTAGAGCAATGTAAAAGTCAGAAACATTAAAAGGGATGTCAGTTTGCATATACTTTATCCAAGATCACATATCATAGGCAAAGCATATATATGAATCTCAAACTTGAGGCCTCAATTGCCTGGGTCTCTTAATTGTGAGTAGTTTGCCAATGATTAAAACATATCACAACACTATAACCACCCTGGAAATATACAATAGGAATGAATATGTCTAAAAATTTTTAGGTTATAATAAATATCACCATAGAATAACAAAACTTCTCAAGTTTCAATTAAAGCAAATTCAGAAGAAAAACAAAAAAATTCTCATAAGAATCTTGGAAAGTAGGCTGGTCTTTTATGAGAAGAAAACCCATTATAATATTTATGTTTCCCAATTGAATAAAACTATCAGAGAGCCCTGCTTTTCACTTGTCCAATGTTTTATTTGGAACTTTACAGCCACCACGTGGTACATTGGTGCTGTCACTCACATAACATCATAGACTGGGATATCACCTATTAACCAGACATGCAGAAAGAAAAAATGAGAACAAAAAGCACCATGAATTAGTATCAAAATTCCAAAGAATTTAAAAGTGAAGAGTACTAAAATCAAACTGAAACATTTGGAAACTTCCTGCTAATTAGGATCAGGTATTAAGAATTTATTCAAGAAATAACTAATTTTTATCAAAAACACAAAACATGACTATTCACAAATATAAATAAAACAGTTCCAAAAAACTCTTACCCAGAATGGAAAGCTTTAATTTTGGTGTACAAGTGACCAGATTGAATGCAGGAAGATCTGATGGTAAAAGTACAGTCAAAAACAATGTCCAAAAAGTCATCTTACTAAATAGTGTTTAACTAAAAGAAAAATAATGGAGAGTATTAAATGATTAGACATAAAATTTTTATAGGCAAATGACTTACATTTGACATTCCTTCATATCTAAAGAGAAATATACATTAAATGCACAAAAAGAATCATTAATTATGCAATAGTTGATTCATTCAACATAGGATGATTAAAGAATGAAGAAATTCATACTGGTTCTTCATTGTCTCTTAAAACAATGGGTAGCAGACAAGACATTGGGGTTGTATTCTTGTCAATAAACACACAGACAATGTGGCTGTGAAGTCACGTGGATTTATGCTTTAGGAAGCAAATATCTGGAGACTGGCCCATGGGCTTACCATCAGTCAAACTGGCAAAAACATGCAAGGGAACTTTCAGGCCTGAAAAGAGAGCCATCAACTTTTAGTTTTGGGACCCCATCCATGGCCAGACAATGAACAACAAAAAACAGAAAGGCAACTACTCCCCCACTAGGACCACATCTTGGGTCACCACTCTAACTCATGCCTCAAAATGGTCTAACGTTGGAGATGATACAATGGCACCAAAGAGCTGTAAACAGATTTTACAGAACTGTGGGGGTGGGAGGCAATATAAGAGGGCAGTGTCCACAGAGAAAAAGATTCCACATGAAATGCAGTGGGCCCCACTGAAAGTAGGAAAACAAAGAGAAGGGCCCATCAAAAGCAACTGGCATTAATTAGAGCCCACTATCCCTGAAAATGTCCTGGCAAAGCCCTACATAATATCAGGGATCACATTTCAGCTCAAGTAATAGCCAGCAGTGTCTACAAACCAAGATCAGTGGACTGGTTCATGAATGCATCTGAATGAGTCCAGACTGGGGCTAGACCACACCATATAATAGATTCTTGGGAGACCACAAAGCACACACCACAAGTGACTGTCCCCTCAATAGATCAGCATTCTATGCCTCCAAATGTGCAGAAACGTGTGGGGATGTAGCTCAGGGTGCCAGGGAAGGAAACATTGACTCCATGTGCAATCTGACCAGAATTCAAGTCTAACAAAAGGCTATTCAGAGCCTGAGATCCTAGAATGTAGAAAAGACACCAGAGAAGGAATCCCATCTTTATGAGGATTGCGGTTCCCAAAATAACTCCCCCCTCCAGATGTTTTAAGATGGGCCTCCCTCATAGTCCAAAGTCCTCTGAAGCCTGTGTCAAGGACCAAAGAGAGTCTTTCAACTCGAAACATTCAGGTCGTGGAAAAACCTTGCCAGAAGGTATAAGAGAAAAACACAAATCAAAAGAAAGAGATAAGGAAAAGCCACGCCTATGGCATCTGGGCGGGGCGGTGGAACTAGGGATCAGGAAAGAAAGCCAAAGACAAGACCACGTCTTGGCCATGTGGCAACCCCTAAACATGGTAGAGTCTCAAGGGCTTTCCTTCCTCCATACCCACAGCCCAGGGCTCTGTAAGGGACAGGGGTATCCCCAACCTCCTGCCCATGGATGGCCACTCCATTGGGCCTCAGTGTAATCCTATTGAGCATGACGTTTAGGTCATTCTCTCTCTTCAGGACCATATGAGTTCTCATCATAGACCCAACCGAGGCACTCCCCACACATTGGGGCACTGGCACCTGAGTAGCCTTACCTCAGATGCTTTCTGGAAATGAGGGTGCCCAAAAGGAAGTGGGTATCTGTCTCTTCCAGGTGCTGGACCAAGGCTGACATTGATTGACCCATGGGAAGCAGGCCAAACAAGGAACTGAATTCCTCTGAGGAGTTGTCTAGCTAGAGAGGAGTAGGACAGCAGTGAGAACTCCTACTCCATCACTTTAGGAATTGGGGGTCATGCATGATACACCTTCATGGATCAAATGATGCTATAAGACACACCAACAGTGATACATTCAGGAACACAAAGAGTGACAAAATGCACCTATACACATTACATAAACAAGTAGCTGAAATGCATATCTAAAACGTAAGTATCTACCTACATACCTACCAAAGCAAACACCTACCTCTCTACTCCTTACCTCCCTAAATCCTTACTTTTATCCCTCCCTCCCACCCTCCATACATTATTACAAACATGAAGGAACCAGTGGACGAGTGGGTCAGTGCATGAATGTATATATGAATAATATGTCAAGATATGTAGAAATGACGAATCCCTAAAAAACTTCCAAGAGAAGGCAGAGTATCATTGGCTCTCCTTCTAAAGCGAGAGACTCTCAGCCAGCAAAGTTCTAAGGATGAGTCTTGGGGAACAGAGGTGTTCCTCTGGGCTTGATCCTGGCCTGTGCAAGCACGGCTGATGGCATATTGGGCTTGGCCACTTGCCCACCAACACTCAAAAAACGAGGACATGAGCCCCAAAATTGAATGATCAAGGAAGCAGATATATGGAGATGGGCAAATGGGCTCAGCACCAGTGAAACTGGCAAAGCCCTGAATGGGAATGTTTAGGCCGGGACAAGAACCATTGACCATTGGTGCAGCGTCTCCATCTATGGCATGCCCAAGGCCTACAAACAACAGCACTGCAATTACTCCATCCTAAGCCCATAACATGGGGCCATGCCTCTACTTCAAGCATACAGGGGCTCATGATGGAGATGATACCAGGGCTCCTAAGGGCTCTCAACAGCTTTACTAGAAATGGACAGTCAGGAGTTTCTACTTTGGAGGGTGCTCTCTTCAAAGGCATTGACTCCCACAGAGGAAGAGCTCCCCAGGAGGATCACTGGACGGGAGTGAGAGGCAAAACCCATCAGAAGGCCCATCAGGAACAATTGGTCTCACTGAGACACCACCATCCCTAAAAGTGACCTGGCCAAGTCCCATTAAAGCTCAGGGGCTGCCCTTCAGCTTCTCAAAAGCAAGCAGTGTCTACCTGCCAAGGGCAAGTGGACGGGTTCTTGAATGCCTCTCACCACCTCCTGGCCTGGGGCATGATTCTTCCCTACCGATGGTTCTTTGGAGACGGCAAAGCACACATAGCAGTGACTGTCCCCTCAGTAGATCAGTTTGCTCTGCCTTGAGGTGGGCACGAACCAGTGTGGATGTTCCCCAGGGGCCCAGGGAAGGAAATGTTGTCTCCATGTGCAGTCTGACTATATCATTAGATGTGGTGACATAGCAGAAATCAGCTGACTAGGTCCTTAGATGTGGTGCCATAGCAGAAATCCCCCATTTGCAAGGATTGAGGTTCCAGAAAGGACTACCCCCTCTTGACGCCTTTGATGTGGGCCTCCCCCATAACCCAAAGTCCATTGAGGCCTCTGTCAAAAATCAAAGACAGCCACTCACTCAAATCATTCTGGCTGTGACGAGACCCTTGCCAGAACATCTGACTGAAAGACACAATTTGAAGAGAAAGAGCTAAAGAAAGGCACCACCTAGGGCCTCCGGGCAGGCAGTGGAATCAGGGATCAGGAAAGAAAGCTGAAGACAGGATCACGTCTTTGCCACGTGGAAGCCTCTAGACATGGTAGAGTCCCAAGGGCTCTCCTCCAGGGATAGGTGGCCTCTACACCCACACTCCAGGGTTCTGGAAGGGACAGGAGAATCCCTAAACTCTGGCCCCTGGATGGCCACCTCCTTTGGGCCTCAGTGTAATCCTATTGTGCATGATTGTTAGGTCATAATGTCTCTTCAGGACCATATGAGTTCTCACCATTGACCCAACCGAGGCACTCCCCACTCATCCGTGCCCTGGAACATGAGTAGGCTTACCTCACATGCTTTCTGGAAATGAGGATGCCCAAAAGGAACTGAGTTTCTGTTTCTTACAGGTGGTGGACAAAGGCTGACATCACTTGCTCCATGGGCAGTGGACCAAACTCAGATCTTCCTTCCCATGGGGACTTTGGCTAGAGAGGAGCAGGACAGCTGTGTCAACTCCAAGTCCATACCATTGGCATTAGGGGGTCATGCGTGTACATGTACATGCATCGAATGATGCTATGAGACATACCAACAGATGTCTTGTACATCTAGGAACACTTTCACGAACACAAAGTGTGCCCAAATGTACTTGTATGCATTAACATAAACACCTACCTGAAATGCATACCTAACACTCATCTACCTACCTATCTGCCTACTTACCTACCAACCCACGTACCTACATTTCTAGCTCCCCACCTCTCTACCTCTTTGCCTTTCTCTCTCCCTCCCTCCCTCCCTCCATACAAACATAAAGGAACCAGTGACAAGTGGATCTGTGTATGAATAGTTACATAACTAATGTGTCAGGGAAGGAAGGATTGATGAATCACTAAAGACTCCCAGGTGAAGGCAGAGCATCGCTGGCTCTCCTCCCATCAGAAGGCCTGAGGCAAGGGCTTCTTGGCCAGTAAAACTCTATGGATGTGTCTTGCGGAATGGAGATGTTACTCTGGGCTCGATCCTGGTCTGTGCAATCATGGGGTGGTCGATGGGACACTGGGCTTGACCACTTGCCCACCAACACACAGAAAATGGGGCCAGGAAGTCCCACACAATGGATGCGGGAAGAATCAGATATGTGGAGATGGGCCCATGGGCTCAGCAGCAGTCCACCTGGCAAAGCCCTTCATGGAACATTCAGGCCAGGGACAAGAGCCATCGTCTGTTGGTTCAGCATCCATTCTTGTGGCCCATGGAAGGCCCCCAAACAACAGCAATTCAAGTACTCCCTCCTCAGCCCATGCCATGGAGCCACCCCTCTTCTTTGGTAAACAGGCCCTCAAGATGGAGATGATCTCAGGGCTAAGAGGGTTCTCAACAGCCTTACTAGGAATGCACACTCAGAAGGGGTTTCTCCTCTTGAGGGTGCTCTCTTTGAAGGCAGGGGCTCCCGGGGAGGAAGAACTCCCCAGGAGACTCATTGACCACTAGTGGGTGAAGCAAAATCCATCAGAGGTCTCATCAGGAAGAACTGGCCTCACCGAGACCCCACCATACCTGAAAGTAACCTGGCCAACTCCCATTAAAGCTCAGGGGCTGCCCTTTAGCTTTCTCAATAGCCAGCAGCATCTACCTACCAAGCCCCAGTGGACGGGTTCTTGCCTGCCTCTCAACTTCTCCTGTCCTGGGGCACGATTCTTCCCTACTGATGGTTCTTTGGAGACAGCAAAGCACACATCACAAGTGACTGTCCCTTCAGTATGTCAGTGTGCTCTGCCTTCTGGTGCACACAGATCCTGTGTGGATGTTCCCCAGGGGCCCAGGGAAGAAAACATTGCCTCCAGGTGCAACCTGACTAGAACTCAAGTCTAATGAAAGGCTTTTCAGTGCCCAAGAAACTGGTCCTTATATGTGGTGCCACAGCAGAAATCCGCTCCTTTGCAAGGACTGAGGCTCCTGAAAGGACTCCCCTTTCTTGACGACTTTGAGGTGGGCCTTCCCCATCGTCCAACTTCCAATGGGCCTCTGTCAAAAATCAAAGAGAGCCACTCACCTCGAATCATTCAGGCTGTGGTGAGACCCTTGCCAGAATGTCTGACTGAAAGACACAATTTGAAGGGGAAGAGCTAAGGAAGGTCCCGCCTATGGCCTCTGGCAGGCAGAGGAACAAGGGATCAGGAAAGAAACCCAGACAGGATCACATCTTCACCATGTGGAAGCCCCTAGACAAGGTAGAGTCCCAAGGGGTTTCCTCCAGGAATAGGGGGCCTCCAAACCCACACTCCAGGGCTGTGGAAGGGACAAGAGAATCCTCAACCTCCAGGCCCTGGATGGCCACCTCCTTTGGGCATCAGTGTAATCCTACTGAGCATGATTTTTAGGTCATCATCTCTCTTCAGGACCATATGAGTTCTCATAACTGACCCAACCGAGGCACTCCTTATGCATCTGTTCCTTGGCATGTGAGTAGGCTTACCTCAGATGCTCTCTGGAAATGTGACTGCCCAAAGGACATGACTTTCTGTCTCTTCCAGGAGCTGGACCAAGGCTGACATCGCCTGCCCCATAGGCACCAGGCCAAAGTCAGATCATCCTACCCTTGGGGACATTGTCTGGCTAGAAAGGAGTAGGACAGCTGTGTCAACTCCTAGTCTATACTGTTAGGCATCAGGGAGTCATGCATGAACCCCTATATACATCAAATGATGCTACGAGACATACCAGCATATGTCTTGTACATCCAGAAAGACTTCCACGAACACAAAATCTGACCAAATGTACCTGTATGCATTAACATAAATACCTACCTGAAACGCACAGCTAATACCTATCTACCTACCTACCTCCTGACCCAACTACCTACCTTTCTAGCTCCCTACCTCCCTATCTCCTTACTTTTCTGTTTTCCTCCCTCCTCCCAGACTTACAAACATAAATGAGCCATTGGCCAATGGATCTGTGCATGAATAAATACAGAACTAATGTATTAGGGAAGGAAGAATTGATGAATTGCTAAAGACTCCCAGGTGAAGACAGAGCATCATTGGCTCTCCTCCCATCAGAAGGCCTGGGGCAAGGGCTTCTTGGCCCGCCAAACTCTATGGACTTGTCTTATGGAATGGAAATGTTCCTCCAGGCTCGATCCTGGTCTGTGCAAGCACGGGGTGGCTGACAGCACATTGGGCTTGGCCACTTGCCCACCAACACTCAGAAACAAGGACATGAGTCCCCAAAATTGGATGATCAAGGGAGCAGATATATGGAGATGGGCAAATGGGTTCAGCACCAGTGAAACTGGCAAAGCCCTGAATGGGAATGTTCAGGCCAGGAAAAGAGCTACTGTCTATTGGTGCACAGCATCTCCATCCATTGCATGCCCAAGGCCTACAAACAACAGCAGTGCAATTACTCCATCCTAAGCCCATATCATGGAGCCATGCCTCTACTTCAGGGAAACAGGGACTCACAATGGAGATGATACCAGGGCTCCTAAGGGCTCTCAACAGCTTTACTAGAAATGGACAGTCAGGAGTTTCTACTTTGGAGGGTGCTCTCTTCAAAGGCATTGACTCCCACAGAGGAAGAGCTCCCCAGGAGGATCACTGGACGGGAGTGAGAGGCAAAACCCATCAGAAGGCCCATCAGGAACAATTGGTCTCACTGAGACACCACCATCCCTAAAAGTGACCTGGCCAAGTCCCATTAAAGCTCAGGGTCTGCCCTTCAGCTTCTCAATAGCAAACAGCATGTACCTACCAAGACCCGGTGGATGGGTTCTTGAATGACTCTCACTATCTCCTGGCCTGGGGCATGATTCTTCACTACCTATGGTTCTTTGGAGATGGCAAAGCACACATCACAAGTAACTGTCTTCTCAGTAGGTCAGTGTGCTCTGCCTTGAGGTGTGCAGGGACCTGTGTGGATGTTCCCCAGGGGCCCAGGGAAGGAAACGTTGCCTCCAGGTGCAACCTGACTAGAACTCGGGTTTAACGAAAGGCTTTTCAGTGCCTGAGAAACTAGTCCTTTGATGTGGTGCCGCAGCAGAAATCCCTCACTTTCCTAGGACTGAGGTTCCTGAAAAGAATACCCCCCTTCATGGCTTTGAGGGGGCCTCCCCCATAGCCCAACGTCCATTGTGGACTCTGCCAAAAATCAAAGAGAGCCACTCACCTCAAATTATGCAAGCCGTGGGGAGACCCTTGCCAGATTGTCTGAATGAAAGTCACAATTTGCAGGGAAAGAGCTAAGGAAAGGTCCCGCCTATGGCCTCCAGGCGGGCATTGGATACAGGGATTAAGAAAGCAAGGTGAAGACAGGACAATGTCTTTGCCACTTGGAAGCTCCTAGACACAGTAGAGTCTCAAGGGCATTCCTCGAGGGATAGGGGGTCTCCACACCCACACCCCTGGGCTCTGGAAGAGACAAGATATTCCCCTAAACTCTGGCCCCTGGATGGCCACCTCCTTTGGGCCTCAGCGTAATCCTATTGAGCATGATTTTTGGTCCTCATCTCTCTTCATGACCATATGAGTTCTCATCATTGACCCAGCTGAGGCATTCCCTACGTATCGGTGCTATGGCACCTGAGTAGGCTTACCTCAGATGCTCTCTGGAGATGTGGATGCCCAAAAGGACGTGACTTTCTGTCTCTTCCAGGTGCTGGAACAAGTCTGACATCAGTTGCTCCATAGGCAGCAGCTCAAACTCAGATCTTTCTTCCCCTGGGGATGTTATCTGGCTAGAGAGGAGTAGGACAGCTGTGTCACTTCCTAGTCCATACCATTAGGCATTGGGGGGGTAATACATGTACCCCTATATGCATTGAATGATGCTATGAGACATACTAACACATGTCTTGTACATCCAGGAACATTTCCACGACCACAAAATGTGACCAAATGTACCTGTATGCATCTACCTGACACACATACCTAACAATTATCAATCTACCTACCTCTTGACCCACCTACCTACCTTTCTAGCTCCCTACCTTCCAATTCTTACTTTTCTCTCTCCTTCCTTCCATCCAGACTTAGAAACATAAAGGAACCAGTGGACAGTTGGATCTGTGCATGAATAGGTACTAAACTAATGTTTCCGGGAAGGAAGAACAGATGAATCCCTGAAGACTCCCAGGTGAAGGCAGAGCATCATTGCCTCTCCTTTCATCAGAAGTCCTGGGGTGAGGGCTTCTTGGCCAGCAAAACTCTACAGACATGTCTTGCAGAATGGACATGTTCCTCCAGGCTCGATGGTGGTCTGTGCAAGCATGGGGTGGCCGATAGGACATTGGACTTAGTCACTTGCCTGCCAACACAAAGGAAATGTGGCCATGAATTCCACGGAATGGATGCTGGAAGAAGCAGATATCTGGAGATGGGCCAGGCCCATGGGCTTAGCACCAGTCAACCTGGCAATGCCCTGAATGGGAACTTTCAGACCGGGGACAACAGCCATCATCTGTTGGTGCAGCATCCCCTCTAGTGGCCCACCGAATCCCCCAAATTACAGCAGTACACCTACTCCCTCCTCAGCCCACATCATGTGGCCACCACTCTACTTCTGACAACAGGGCCTAACGATCAAGATGATCCCAGGGCTCAGAAGGGCTCTCAACGGCCTTACTAGGAGTGCCCCCTCAGAAGGGTTATTTCCTCTTGAGGGTGCTCTCTTTGAAGGCAGTGGCTCCTAGAGAGGAAGAGCTCCCCATGAGAATCACTGGACCCGATTGGGCAAAGGAAAATCCATCAGATGTCCCATCAGGTGTAATTGGCCTCACCAAGACACCACCATCCCTGAAAGTGACCTGGCCAAGCTCCATTTAAGCTCAGGGGCTGTCCTCCAGCTCTCTCAGTAGCCAGCAGCGTGTACTTGCCAAAACCCTGTGGACAGTTTCTTACCTGCCTCTCAATTTCTCCTGTCCTGGGGCTCAGTTCTTCCCTACCAATGGTCCTTTTGAGACTGCAAAACAAACACCAAAAGTGACTGTCTCCTCAGTAGATCAGCATCCTCTGCCTTGAGGTACACACAGACTTGTGTGGATGTTCCACTGGGGCCCAGGAAAGGAAACGTTGCCTCCATGTGCAGCCTGACTAGAACACAGGTCTAATGAAAGGCTTTGAAGTGCCTGAGAAGCTAGTCCTTAGATGTGGTGGGGCAGCAGTGTTCCCCCCTTTGTGAGGACTGAGGTTCCCAAAAGGACTCCTCCCTCTTGAAGGCTTTGAGATGGTCCACCCCCATTGTCCAACATCCACTGGGCCCACCGTCTAAAAAAGAAAGCCATTCACCTCGAATCATTCAGGCCGTGGTGAGGCCCTTGCCAGAACATCTAACTGAAAGACACAATAGGAAGAGAAAGAGCTAAGGAAAGGTCCCGCCTATGGCTTCCAGGTGGGCATCAGAACCAGGGATCAGGAAAGCATGGTGAAGACAGGACTATGTCTTTGCCACATGGAAGCCCTTAGACTCGGTAGAGTCTCAAGGGCTTTCCTAGAGGGATGGGGGCCTCCAAACCCACACCCCTGGTCTCTGGAAGAGACAGGAGAATCCCCAACCTCCTGCCTCTGGATGGCCACCTCCATTGGGCCTCAGCGTAATCCTATTGAACATGATTTTTAGGCCATCATTTCTCTTAACCATATGAGTTCACATCATTAACCCAACTGAGGCACTCCCCACGCATTCGTGCCCCCTCACTTGAGTAGGCTTTACCTCCGAAGCTTTCTGAAAATGAGGATGTCCCAAATGATGTGAGTTTCTGTCTCTTCCAGGTGCTGGACCAATGCAGACAACCCTTGCTCCATACGCAGCAGGCCTAACTCAGATCTTTCTTCCCCTGGGGATGTTATCTGGCTAGAGAGGAGTAGGACAGCTGTGTCACCTCCTAGTCCAACCCTTAGGCATTGGGGGTCATGCGTGTACACCTTCATGCATCGAATGATGATACAAGACATACCAACACATGTCTTGTACATCCAGGAACACTTCCACGAACAAAAAATGTGACTAAATGTACCCGTACACATTAACATAAACATCTAGCTGACACGCATACCTAATGACTATTTACCTACGTACGTCTGGATGTTCCCCAGGGGCTCAGGGAAGGAAACGTTGCCTCCATGTGCAACCTGACTAGAACTCAGTTCTAATGAAAGGCTTTTAAGTGGCTGAGAAGCTAGTCCTTAGATGTGGTGCCACAGCAGAAATCTTCCCTTTGCAAAGACTGAGGTTCCTGAAAGGATTTCCCCCCTCTTGACAGCTTTGAGATGGGCCTCCCCAACTGTCCGGGCCTCCCCAACTGTCCAATGTCCACTGGGGCCTCTGTCAAAAATCAAAGAGAGCCACTTTCCTCGAATCATTCAGACCATGGTGAGATACTTGCCAGAACGTCTGACTGAAAGACATAATTTGAAGAGAAAGAGCTAAGGAAAGGCCCCGACTATGGCCTTTGGTTGGGCTGTGGAACCAGGCATCAGGAAATAAAGCCAAAGACAGGACCATGTCTTCGCCACATGGAAGACCCTTGACATGGTAGAGTCTCAAGGGCTTCCTTGAGGGATAGGGGCCTCCACACCCACACCTCAGGGCTCTGGAAGGGACAGGAGGATTCACAAACTCCTGCCCCTGGATGGCCACCTCCACTGGGCCTCAGCATAATCCTATTGAGCATGATTGTTAGGTCATAATGTCTCTTCAGGACCATATGAGTTCTCATCATTGACCTGACCAAGGCAATCCCCACACCTCCGTGCCCTGGCACTTGAGTAGTCTTACCTCAGATGCTTTCTGGAAATGAGGATGCTCAAAAAGACGTGACTTTCTATCTCTTCCAGGTGTTGGACCAAGGCTGACATTGATTTCACCATAGGCAGCAGTCCAAACTCATATCTTCCTTCTCCTGGGGACGTTGTCTGCTTAGAGAGGAGTAGGACATTTGTGTCAACTACTAGTCCATAGCGTTAGGCATTGGGTGTAGTTGCATGTACATCTTCATGCATCGGATGATACTACAAGACATACCAACAGGGATACATGCATAAACACAAAGAGTGACCAAATGTACCTATATGCATTGACATAAGTATCTATCTGAAACGCATACCTAACACCTACCTACCTACCTATCTACTAATCCACCTACGTACCTTTCTAGGTCCCTACCTCCCTAGCTCCTTATTTTTCTCCCTCTCTTCCTCTATATATACTAAGAAACATAAATGAACCAGTGGACGTGTGGATCTGTGTATGAATGCGTACATAAATAATGTGTCAAGGAATGAAGAAATGACGAATATCTAAAAGACTGCTGAGAGAAGGCAGAGCATCAGTTGCTCACCTCCCATCAGAAGGCCTGTTGCCATGGCTTCTTGGCCACCAAAACTCTCTGGACGTGTGCTGGGGAACAGAGACGTTCCTTTGGGCTCGATTCTGGCCCATGCAAGCATGGGGCGGTCAATGGGACATTCGGCTTGGCCACTTGCCTGCCAAAACACAGAAAACGAGGCCATGAATTCCCATGGAATGGATGCTTGAAGAAGCAATTATTTGGAGATGGGCCCATGGGCTGAGCACTAGTCAACCTGGCAAAGCCCTGCATGTGAACGTTCAGGCCGGGAATAAGAGCCATCATCTTTTGGTGCAGCAGCCCGTTTTATGGACCATCGAAGGCCCCCAAAGAACAGCAGTGCAACTACTCCCTCCTTGGCCCACATCATTAGGTCCCCCTCCACTTCGGGCAACAGGGCCTCACAATGGAGATGATACCAGGGCTCAGAAGGGCTCTCAACAACCTTACTAGGTAGGCACACTCAAAAGGGGTTTCTCCTCTTGAGGGTGCTGTCTTTGACGGCAGTGTCTCCCCTACTGGAAGAACTCCACAGGAGATGCAATGGCTGCTAGTTGTTGAAGCGAAATCCACCAGAGAGAGTATCAGGAACAATGAACCTCACCGAGACCCCACCATCCCTGAAAGTTACCGGCCCAAGTCCCATTAAACCCAGGGGCCGCCCTTCAGCTCTCTCAATAGCCAGCAGCGTCTACATGCCAAGACCTGGTGGATGGGTTCTTGCCTGCCTCTCACCATCTCCTGTCTTGGGGCATGATTCTTCTCTACCGATGGTTCTTTGGAGACTGCAAAATATACACCACAAATGACTGTCCCCTCAGTTGATCAGAGTACTCTGCTTTGAGGTGTGCTCCTCAGGGGCCCAGGGAAGGAAACATTTCTTCCATGTGCAATCTGATTAGAATTCAGGTCTAATGAAAGGTTTTTCATTTCCTAAGATCGTAGCCCTTAGTTGTGGTGCCACAGCAGAAATCCCCCTTTGGGACAACTGAGGTTCCTGAAAGGACTCCTCTCTCTTGACTGCTTTTAGTTGGGCATCCCACATAATCCAATGTCCTTTGGGGCCTGTGTCAAGGACCAAAGAGAGCCACTCACCTCGAAACATTCAGGCTGTGGCGAGGCCCTTGCCAGAAAGTCTGACTGAAAGACACAATTTGAAGAGAAAGGGCTAAGAAGGCCCCGCCTAAGCCCTCCGGGCGGGTTGTGGAACTAGGAATCAGGAAAGAAAGCCAAAGACAGGACCATGCCTTTTCCACATGGAAGCCCCTAGACAAGGTAGAGTCTCACATGCTTTCCTAGAAGGATAGGGTGCATCCACACCCACATCCAAGGGCTCTGGAAGGGACAGGAAGATTGCATCCTCCTGCCCCTGGATGACCAATTCCCTTGTGCTTCAGCACAATCCTGTTGAGCATGATTTTTAGACCATCATCTCTCTTGACGATAATATAATTTTTCTTTTCTAATCCTTTCTGCTATTTTCATGTATCATTTTCCTCTTTCTTCAACATGCGTACCACAAAATATTTTAAAATTAATACATTATGCTGAATATTATTTCCATAATATTTTTTGATATTTAGAAGAAATATTTTTAGTGTTATTTTTTATTATATACAATATTTTTTGTTCTTTCCTTTTTTACTTTCTCAATTTTAGGATTGATGTAATTGTATATGTTCATTTAAACATCCTAAATATTTCTGTTTTTTAATTATCATTATATATTTTTTGAATGTTATTATAGTTTTGTTTACCTTTCATTTTTTCCTGTAGAATTAGAATGTTTGTGAATTAGTTTTCCTTTTTTCCACCTTTAGTGTTTAGGAAACATAAGGTCATTTCACTGATCAATTTTATTTTATTAAACACTGATCTATATTGTTATCTCTGTATTTTTCTCTTTGCATAAGAACTTCCTCAAGTTCTATTTTTGAAGCCACATGAGTCTTTGGATTACAAATAAAATAACAGTACAGTTGTCATTTTGATTTTTTAGTGATGCTTGAACATGAATTTTAGCCTTTTTGAACATGGTTAATAAGCCATTGTTATATTGTGTGTTTTCTTCAATATCTTACCCACTTTATAGGTACAGAAGAAATGAATTTCATAATCAATGTAAATATTTCTTCTTATATATTTAGTTAAAAAAATCACATCATCACCTGGCAACCACAGATCAGTAAATATCTCATCAAAAATATTGGATTTGCCCTTGATAATTCTTTAAAGTTAGTTGGTCACTCATTGAGAAAAAATACTTCTCATTCAGTGACACTAGCATAGTCAATTGTAAATGAGAATCTTCTGGCATCATTTATAGCAGGGGGTCCCCAACCCCCAGGCCACAGGCTGGTACCAGTCCTTGGCCTGTTAGGAACCAGGCCACACAGCAGGAGGTGAGTGGCCAGTGAGTGAGCTAAGCTTCATCTCTATTTACAGCCACTCCCCATTGCTCACACTACCACTTGAGCTCCTCCTCCTTTCATATCAGTGGCAGCATTAGATTCTCATAGGCGTGTGAGCCCTACTGTGAACTGCACATGCCACGGATCTAGGTTGCATGCTCCTTATGAGAATCTGATGCCTGATGATCTGAGGTGGAGCTGAGGTGGTGATGCTAGAGCTGGGGAGTTGTTGAAAATACAGATTATCATTAGCAGAGAGGTTTGATTACCCAGAGACCATAATAAATCAATTGCTTGCAGACTCATATCAAAACCCTATCTGTGAGTGGCAAGTGACAATTAAGCTGCATCTGGTGGCAGATTTATAGTGGCAAGTGAGTTGATGTACTTCAATTGTACAGCTGCATCTGGTGGCAGGCTTTAAGTCAGAATTCAACAATCATTTTAGTCTGTGCGTGGCCTGCCCACTATTTTATTTACTACTTCCATCCACAACTCTTTCCCATACTGCGCACTTTTCTCAGTCACAGTTTTGGTAAGCCCACAAGCTAACCCTAGCCAAAATGAATAAAAAACAAACTTTGCTGGAGAGCTTCTTTGAAAATTGGGAAAGACCCAATGATGAGACAGCAGAAGACTCCAATACTGCCAAATAAAAAAAGCTGTATTTAAAAGAAAATACCAAGAGTCCTACTTAAATTATGGGTTCACTGCAACAGGTGATTCACATTCTCCAAGCCCACTTTGTATTATATGTGGCAACTGACTATCCAACAAAGCCTTGAAACCTTCAAAACTGCTTCACCACATGGAGACTAATCACCCTGAATTAAAAGACAAGACTTTGGAGTTTTTCAAAAGAACAAAACATGGACACGAAGAACAGAAGTAATTATTGAAGGCCACAACTTCATCAAATGTGTCTGCACTGAGAGCATCATTCTTAGTGGCTAACAGCATTGCTAACACTAAGAAGCCCTTTACTATTGGTGAAGAGTTGACCTTGCCTGCTTCTAAGGACGTTGGTTGTGAACTTTTAGGAGAGGCTGCAGTTCAAAAGGTGGCACATGTTCCTTTTTCAGCTAGCATCATAAATAGACAAATTGATGAAATAGCAGAGGATATTGAGGAACAATTTTTAGAGAGGATCAGTGAGTCACCGTGGTACGCAATCCAGGTTGAGGAGTCTACCAATGTTGACCACAAGGCAACAATGCTTGTTTTTGTGCAATATATTTTCCAGGAGGATGTGCATGAGGATGTTATGTGCACTTTTGTTGCCAACCAACACCACAGCTGCAGAACTATCCAAGTCTTTGAATGATTACATATCAGGAAAACTGAACTGGTCATTTTGTGTTGGTATATGCATGGATGGAGCGGCTGCCATGACTGGACGGCTTTGTGGTTTCACTGCTCGGGTCAAAGAGGTCACTTCTGAATGTGAGTCTACACACTGTGTCATCCATAGAGAAATGCTGGCTAGCTGGAAAATGTCACCTGAACTTATTAGCATTTTACAGGATGTGATTACAATTATCAACCATATTAAAGTACATACCCTTAAGTCACGTCTGTTCGTGCAGCTCTGGGAGGAGATGGATGCAGAGCACATATGTCTTCTCCTATACACAGAAGTGACATGGCTTTCTAAAGGTAGATCATTGGCCTGAGTTTTTGAGCTATGAGAGCCACTCCAGGGATTTCTTTTAAAAAACTGTCACCACTGGCAGCACACTTCAGTGACACAGAATGGGTCACAAAACTTGCTTACTTGTGTGACATATTCAATCTGCTCAACGAACTCAATCTGTCACTTCAGGGGAGAATGGCAACTGTGCTCAAGTCAGCAGATAAAGTGGCTGCATTCAAAGCCAAACTGGAGTTATGGGGGCAACAAATGAACATGGCTTTTTGACATGTTTCAAACATTAGCAGAGATTTTGAAAGACACTTAGCCAGGGACTTCTTCCTCCCAGCTGGTGCATGATCACCTATCTCAGCTTTCAAAAGAGTTTGAGCATTACTTCTGAACCACAAAAGACCCCTAAACTGGGAAGGAATGGATCTGTGACTCATTTGTGAATAAACCAGGTGAATTGACTGTCCGTGCTAGAAGAGGATCAACTGCTTGAGATCGCAAATTACGGTGGCCTTAAAAGTATGTTTGAGACAACTTCAAATCTCCATATGTTCTGGATTAAAGTCAAGACGTAATATCCTGACATTGCCACAAAAGCACTGAAAAGCCTGCTTCCATTTCCAACATCCTGTCTTTGTGCAGCAGGGTTTTCTGCAGTGACAGCAACCAAAACGAGATTATGGAGTAGACTGGACATAAACAACACACTTCGGGTGTCACTGTCTCCCATCACCCACAGCTGGGACAATCTAGTTGCAGGAAAACAAGCTCAGGGTTCCCACTGATTCTGCTTTATGGTGAGTTGTATAACTATTTCATTATACATTACAATGTAATAATAATAGAAATAAAGTGCACAATAAATGTAATGAGCTTGAATTATCCCCAAACCATCCCACCCCTCCCCCACGGTCTGTGGAAAAATTGTCTTCCACGAAACTGGTCCCTAGTGTCAAGAAGTTTGGGGACTGCTGATTTATAGAAAATTGTTTATTATATTATATACACTCGGTCCATATTAAGATCTGTAATTTTGTGTGTTTCTTAGTGTAAGTACTAAATTTTAAGCTTAAAATTTTAGTTCTTTAACAGTCCAACTACTGTATCTCAAATCTCTTTAATGGCATTTTCCTTCAGCTATGGGAGATTCTTTAGTACTTCAAAGTAGCACAAGGCTACTTTTAGAATCCTGTAAAATTATAAAAATATTGTTCTCATCTTGTTTGTTGAAGTAGATTAAACATTGTACTGGGGACCAGTGAATCAAAATTTCTCAACTTCAATATTACTAATTTCATGTTCAAATGAAACTTATAAATTTACATCAAGTAAGTCAGTCACTGTTTCAAAAGGAAATTCCATATTCCTATTCAGTTTACCTTCTGCTTAAATCTATTATGCTTAGGAGTGCATCTTCTCCAGTCAATTTTCTATTTGGAATATAACTATGACTAAAGGAACCTAGACATCTATCATCAATGCAGTGTTGCATTCCTTGGTTCAATGTCTTACTCAAAGACACATTGAGAAAAAAACAGTGGACTAATCCCTGAATGTACCTTACTATTAAAAATTATAAATCTCTGAAACAAAGTTTATAGGATGAGTATTTCTTTTTACTTTTTAGTAGATAGACAGGATTGGTTTACATAAGTTTCTTTTAAGGTTTCATTTTCTCAAGCACCAAACAAAATGTCTATAAAGGAAATAATGATTCCATATATATTTCCTTGTATTGTCACCTAGGTTTACCTTCATTTTAATTCTATTGATCATGATTTCCAGGTCATCATCTCACTTCAAGACTGTAAGTTCCCATCATTGACTGAAGCCCTGGCTTTTCATACACATATACACATTTGGACCTGAATATATGTACCAGCCAATTATGGCACCAATTTGGACTGGCATATTGACATATTCAGTGGTAGGTACCTGACTCACATTAATTCTCCAAGGCTGCAGGTCAAACCATGCTCTTCCTCTGTACTCATTATTTAAGTGTACAGGAGTAGGACAAGTATCAAAATATAGAACTAAGTCTTTCATGGAACATGGCTCTTGAAAGTTTTTCCTTAATGGAGCAATATGATAAATACTCAGAAAATGACCTAGTATAGAGGTTGTAGACTATTGACAACACTACACAGAATGACACAGAACACAAGTTTCTTTGGAGAACCACTCAGAACGTGTCAGGAAAACACAAGAGCATCCCAATTATCATCCTTTATCTATATATCAAAAGATGCCATACTGGTAACATTTGGCATTGTCTATTGCATATGAACTCTCCTAAAATGACACACCTGAAGCCACTTGAAACTTGGAGTTTACAAATCAAGTATAAGGTTACCGGAAATAGTATTCATTTCCAGGCAGCCTCCATCATTCATAGCACATACATCATTATACTGAAAATAATGCATT